GAATATCTTAATCATTGTGTCCACTCCACAACAAAATAATATGTGTATGTTGACTATATGTTTTTGTGACGACGGACCACCGGTGAACTCGAGGAAGCTGTAAGAGGCTCAGAAGGAGCCGAAGACGTTCCATCCAATCACCTTTCGGAAGAATGTTCTAGAATTCCAACGCGTAGCTTCCCCATTGGATAATGCTAATAACCCCCTGTACGCGGATTGGAAGACTGTAATGATGATTTCGTTCTCACTAAAAACTATAAATACCCGACAATTTTGTAATATGTTTGACACTGTTTGCAATAATATTCCTTTCGTTAGTCTTCTGTCTTCTTACTACGACTTGGAAGGGTTTTGGTGTTCTAGTGCTCAGTTATACGCGGTAGTATCAAGAAAAATCAGCTTTTTCAAGATATAACATCTGGCGACGGGTTATTGTACCAATATGTCATTTACCTCTGAACAATTTGAAGCCTTATTGGAACGCCAAGAAGAACGTTTTGAACAGTTCCAGATGCGCATGATAGAGATGCTAACTCAGAAAATGAACCTGAATTAAAAAGAAGTTACAGATGATCCCTTCAAATCTCATGTTGACCAGATTGTTAATTCTATCCATGAATTTAATTTTGATGGTTCAGCTGGCATTACTTTTGAAACTTGGTTCAAGAAATATGAAGATTTGTTCAAGGTCGACCTGAAAAAACTTGATGACGCCGCTAAGGTCAGAATACTCTTGCGAAAGCTTGGAACTGTTGAACATGAACGTTACAGTAACTTTATCCTTCCAAAGAATCCAAGAGATTTTTCTTTTGATGCAACGATTGAAATTTTGTCGCAAATCTTTGCTGAACAGTCATCCTTGTTTAATATTCGTTATCAATGTCTCAAGATGACAAAGGCAGGTGATGATGACTGGGTGAAACATGCGGGTTTAGTAAACCGTGAATGTGAGCGTTTCAAACTATCAGCAATGACAGAAGACCAGTTTAAGTGTCTCGTATTTGTGTGCAGCCTCCAATCTCCCGAAGATGCCGATATTAGAACTAGAATTTTGAGTAAGATTGGACAATGTCCGAATATGACACTACAAGAAGTAACCACAGAGTGCCAGAGATTGGTAAACCTAAAGCATGACACTTCGATGGTCGAAAATAATGGCCAGTTGCCATACGTTCGTGCTGTAAGCGGAAAGAATGATTCTTGCTCAAGAAAGGTATCGCACACAGATAATCAGCCTTCATCTCCATGTTGGTCTTGTGGTGGTTGGCATTATAAAAGGTTCTGCCCATATAAAGAACATTGTTGTAGCAAGTGTCATCGCAAGGGACATAAAGAAAACTGCTGCAGAAAAAGAACCCATAAACGACATCCTTTGAAACCGTACTCGAAGAAATACAGATTTAGTGCTCGAACTAACAAAATATTGGTATCACATAATCGAGCACGAATTTGCCGCCAAAGAAAGTATGTAAACTTGGATATAAATAAAAAGCGTGCCCGCCTGCAACTCGACACCGCTTCTGACATCACACTTATTAGTCGGAGAACTTGGAATCTTATCGGTAAACCACAGGTGCTCCCAACAACCCAGTTAGCTCACAGCCCATCTGGAGGAAAACTAAATATTGTTGGAGAGGTTTGTTGTACAGTCTCGAAAGGAAATGCGAAAACGAATGCAACTTTATATCTTACACAGAATCCAGGACTAGATTTGCTAGGTCTAGACTTGATAGAAGCACTTCAATTAGCAAATCACCCCATTAACCACATATGCAGCGCAATGAGAACCAATAAACCGGTGGAAAAGGATCTGAAGAGTGTTGTATTGGAAAGACACAGTCAAGTGTTTACGGAAGAGTTGGGGGAATGCAAAAAGGTTAAAGCACTATTGATTCTTAAACCAGGAGTCACCCCAGTCTTCAGACCAAAACGTCCGGTACCCTATGCAGCGCTACCTATTGTTGAACAAGAATTAGAGCGTCTGCAAAGAAGTGGAATAATCGAACCAGTAAACTTTTCTGATTGGGCAGCTCCAATAGTGATTGTTAAAAAGCCTAATGGAAGTATCCGGTTATGTGCAGATTATTCGACTGGATTAAATGAAGCTCTTGAAGCCCATCAATACCCATTGCCGGTACCAGAGGATTTATTTGCGAAACTGAATGAGGGTAAGTATTTTGCGAAATTAGACCTATCAGACGCGTATCTACAGATCCCGGTAGCGGATGAGTGTAAGCATTACTTGACAATAAACACTCATAAGGGATTGTTCCGATATAACCGACTTCCTTTTGGAGTAAAGACCGCCCCTTCAATCTTCCAACAAGTTATGGACACTATGTTACAAGACATTCCTGGTACCGCGGCTTATCTCGATGATATATTGATCATGGGTACAGACTATGCTGATTTAGAGAATAAGGTGGATACGGTTCTCAGACGCATAGCAGATTATGGATTAAGACTGCGTGCCGAAAAATGTGATTTTTACATGGAGCAAGTCCGGTATTTGAGATTCATAATTGATAAAAACGGGAGAAAACCTGATCCTGAAAATGTCGAAGCCATTAAGTCCATGCCTCCACCGACGGATGTGTCAACTTTACGTTCTTTCTTGGGAATGGTTAGTCATTATGGAGTTTTTCTGCCAGATCTGCATCGCCATCGTGCTCCTCTTAATTGCTTATTGAAAAAGGATACTAAATGGTTCTGGTCAACTGAATGCCAAGAAGCATTCCTAAAACTGAAGCAGCTTCTATCATCGAACCTTCTCCTTACACACTATGATCCCGATCTTCCAATTATAGTCGCAGCAGATGCGTCGAACTACGGAATTGGAGCAGTAATTTCACATGCCTACCCTGACGGGTCTGAGAAAGCAATCGCTCACGCTGCGAGATCGCTGACTATGACTGAAAGAAACTACAGTCAAATAGAGAAAGAAGCCCTCGCGATTATATTTGCTGTAAAAAAGTTCCACAAGATGTTGTTTGGTAGGCAGTTCACCTTACTTACAGACCATAAACCGTTACTGACAGTTTTTGGATCTAAAAAAGGCATCCCGGTATATACAGCAAACCGGCTACAGAGATGGGCTACCACACTGCTGGGTTATGATTTCAAGATAAATTATCAACCAACAACGGATTTCGGACAGACAGATGCACTCTCAAGATTGATTGGTCTGCATGAAAAACAAGAAGAAGAAGTGCTTGTAGCTGCTATAGATGTCGAGGCCGAGGTTCATAAAATATTGTCAGACGCAGTTTCCGGACTCCCGGTCACATTTGAAGCCATTAAAGAGGCCAGCAAGAAGGATAATGTATTGAAGATTGTTCGCCAATGCATACTCAATAAATGGCCTTCATCTAGATTACACGGAGAACTCTTACAATACTTTCGTCGACGAGAGTCATTAACAGTTGTCGATTCATGTATAATGTTTGGCCATCGTATCGTTATCCCCAGAAATCTTCGACACCAAGTCATTAAACAGTTCCACAGCGGGCATCCGGGGATATGTAAAATGAAGTCACTAGCTCGTAGCTATGCATACTGGCCGTCAATGGACCATGAGATAGAGCAAAAATGTCGCAGCTGTTGGTCCTGTCAAGAGGCTGCAAAGAATCCAACGAGAGCTGAGCCACAACCATGGCCTAAACCGGACGGGCCTTGGCAAAGAATACATGCTGATTTCGCCGGACCGATACAAGGCAGGAATTACTTAGTTGTTGTAGATGCTTTCACAAAATGGCCGGAAGTATATGACATGCCGAATACGACTTCAGAGAGTACCATAAGAAGATTGTCAGGATTTTTTGCCTGTTTTCGGGTTCCAGAGATCTTAGTGACCGACAATGGTACTCAGTTTATGTCATCCGCCTTCAAACGCTTCTGCAACGAGAATGGCATATTGCATCTACAATCTCCTCCATACCATCCTCAGTCGAATGGCCAGGCAGAAAGATTCGTGGATACAATTAAAAGAGCTCTGGTCAAAGGGGGAGGTGAGGGTGTCCCGGAACAAGTGATTAATAAGTTCTTGATGTCTTACAGAGTTACCCCTAATCCGGCAGTACCAGAAGGAAAGTCTCCGGCCGAGTGTATGTTCGGGAGGAAAATCCGGACAGTTTTTAACAGTATGTTGCCGCCCAGAAAGACAAATAAACCCACGAATGAAAATCGTAAGGTCAATCGTACCTTCCAGGTGGGTGAAAAGGTACTTGTTAGATCGTATCAAGGTAATAGGAAGTGGGAACCAGGTGTCATAGAACGTCGAATCGGAAATGCGCTGTACCTAGTCCGGAAAGATGTCGGAAAATGCATAAAACATATAAATCAAATGCAAAGAAATGATAGTACAGTGGTCACAGAAAACCGGCTCCCATTTCAATTGCTCGTAGATTCGTCTCAGAAGAACCATCATAAGCGCAAATATCGAAAAGACAAACGACGCAGAGAGAAGGCTGTACAACCCTCGAGAGTAATGGACCGCAAGAGGAATGCGACACCCAAGCTTCAGGTGGATCCAAGAAAAAAATATTACACAACAGACTTTAAAGAAGGGAGGTGTGACGACGGACCACCGGTGAACTCGAGGAAGCTGTAAGAGGCTCAGAAGGAGCCGAAGACGTTCTATCCAATCACCTTTCGGAAGAATGTTCTAGAATTCCAACGTGTAGCTTCTCCATTGGATAATGCTAATAACCCCTTGTACGCGGATTGGAAGACTGTAATGATGATTTCGTTCTCACTAAAAACTATAAATACCTGATAATTTTGTACTATGTTTGACACTGTTTGGAATAATATTCCTTTCGTTAGGCTTCTGTCTTCTTATTGCGACTTGGAAGGGTTTGGTGTTCTAGTGCTCAGTTATACGCGGTAGTATCAAGAAAAATCAGCTTTTTCAAGTTATAACAGTTTTACATTCAATTTTACTCCAAATCAAATAATCATCACCATTGTTTTATTTTCATTCTATCTTCTCTTTTCTATAGATTTGTTGGACGATTTATTGCTTTAGCATTATATCATTCTAGATTTATTGATAATGGTTTCACTTTACCATTTTATAAACGTATGTTAAATAAAAATATCACTTTAGCCGATATTGAAACAGTTGATGTGGAATATTATAATTCATTGAAATTTATTCAGTAAGTTTCTTGTCGGTCTGTTGTATATGTGTGTTTCTGTAATTAGTAGTAGTAGTAGTATAAGGTTATGGAGATTGTTGAGTTGATATCATGAACCGATCAGTGTTTGACTATCATTGGATACCTGGAAGCACTAAATGGCCATTTCATCTTAGTTTGGGATTTTCTCAGCAGTGCATATCCATAATCTCTCAACTGGGAATTCAACCCAAGACCTTTCAGTCTAGCTCGTGAATTCTTAACCTTTAGACCACTGATCCGGGACCCAGTGGTGTGCAAGCCTAACTTCAATCAATCCAAAATATTGCACGACGATTTTCGATTATGTTGGTTGGGTACCTGCCTCACACTGGACATGGATTACCCCACCGGTCACGGCTTCTCACATAAATATGTTAGCCTGATTTACCAAATTAAGACAACAAGATAATATTAAAAAGGCGAAAGACATTGGGGTTGTAGTAGCGACGATAATAAAACGACTTAATATTAAGAATACTATTGCAAAAGATGGAATGAAAAGTCATGTATAATGGAACTTTTTAACTCAAGATTTAGATCAAGAGTGAATGTATCTGAACCAATATGACTCAAAGTCTTTAATAATTACATTGACCCAAACCAAGTGAGTCTGTGTTAGTCAACATCCTTCAGACCAACAGTCCACGATTTCATGGGTTCGTACTATGTCTTCGTTTGACTGCTCTTACCATCCTTCCAACCTACTCTTGCTCTAGCAAATGTCTCACGTTGAAGTAGGTATCTGTTGGGCATAGATAATACACGTCCCATCCAACTCACCAACTGAAGATTCACTACCTAGTCAACCAGCTTTCCATCTATACGTGATATACCCTGCATTTAACCTGAGCACTATTCATTCGATGATTCTAACCTACTTGAACAATCTTTCAAAGGTATCTGTGATTAAAGCCAGTAGCCTGCGAATATCCTCTATTTTTAAAAGTCACATTTCTAAATGACCGGTAGTTTGTTCACTGTGTGTTAGTTACAAATGAAAATTGGTCGTTGTCACGCAATTTACATCGTTTAATTCAATCATTGGTGCTACTGCTTAAGTTATTATTAGCGGAATGATTATCTCACCTGACAACTTGGTCTTTTTCTCCTAGAACATTCAATCGATGTGACCAAGTAACCTTATTTCTTTTGAATATAGATCACTAAAAGGAAACTATGATTAGTAACAGGGACATACATATAGGGACATGTAAAATGAAATTTTCAAATCATTCCGTTCAGTGATCCTTTTCATATTGATTGAGATTTCGAAATTATCACGTTTGTTTGGATTAGTGTTATACTTCATTAAGGTCAAGGTCTTGTATTCAATCTTAGATAATCCTAACGGTTAAATTCAAAGGAATCCCAAAGTCTATAGGACGAATAAAAACAACTGTGTTATTAATCACGATAAGTACCTGTTTTGTGAATGTTTTTATCTATCCACTATCGCTAAATGGTATCATTTTTTTCTATGTACTTGATGATTCCCATTGTGAGATGACATGTTTTCTGTTTTAGCTTTAATTTCGATGAGCCCATTAAAAGTACAGAGTCTACTAATGAGGGAGGAGTTCACTGTATGATAGTGACCAGATATTCTGAAATTTAATGATCCACTTGAGTTTATTTTCCTTTTAGACTGCTCAATTGTAACACAAAAACAGCAAACTAACTTTCCTTTTTCTATTATTATGACTCAAAAACTCATATGATGATAATATTACATCAATTACAAAATCAATAAGCAACCACGAACAGAAAATCGAAATGTGTACATAATTAGGTCATTTTATAGTTCAAAGTCCAAGTAACAAATTGATAAATTTTCTGATTGAACGCTTGAATCGGTTACTTAAGTTCTTCTAATGACCTCCATGCTAAATCTAATTGAACACTTGAACACGAGAGAAAAGGCGTGAAGTGTGGAAAGGACACTTTACTTCGAAATTAGTTTACGTACGGAAAATCGAGGTTATTTATAGCATTTCAGATGGTCTTTGGCTTCTGGAACCCTATTAAACATAGTAACAGAATAGGTGATCATCTAATCAGAAATGTGACATGTAACTCTTCACTTTTTAGATGTCTATGACAAACTTCTATTGAATACTGATTGGATAAAATGTTTCCCAGTGTCTTCAGGGTCCCTCTAGGTTTTTTTCAAGGAATACTTTGAATCTCCTCAACACAAATGGATAATGTATTAACCGTAACTTTTTTTAATGTAAGAGATTTAACAATATGTAATGCCTTCAAACGAAAACTTACTACTAAGGCTTTATAGAAATACTATAAACCAGATCTTTAATAAACTCACAATAAAATTATATCAAAATAGGTAAGTTTGTGGAGATTGTAGCATTTTCATAGTATATCTCATGAACTGATCTTATTCAAATAGACCATTGATGTAAACCAGCTATTTCGTCCATGTATAGGACTGCTCAATAATGCATACTCAGAATTCTATTGTTAGAACAAAACACTTCCTCAAGGATCGATCCTAGGAGCTTCAGGCATCGGGACGAGCTTTCGACCACTTAACCTGTATCTAATAGTGTCCATGTGTAACCTCAATCATTTCGCAATATCGGGGGCAACCATCTTCCATCACTTACAACAGATAACTGTCTCACACTCTACATAGTTGAACTCCACTCCTAACGGTTCGTGACTAGAACTCCTGAAATCGTCTGTGAAAGTTAGTGATTAGTGATTACATGATTGTTTTTCGTATGGTGGTTGTTGTGTTTGTGATTTATGGTGATATTAGAATTGTCATAGTTAACACTAGAAACTGATCTTAATTAGTCAGTCATTGAATATCAACTGCCCGGTGCTTTCAGAGTTTTTATTGAGGATCTGGTTAAGATCACTTAGTGATTTAAACTATAAACTTATATGTAACATTCGACGTTTTTCACTTATTCATCCATATATAACAATGATTCACTTTCTTAATTTCCGAATTCATCTGTCTTAATTGTCCAATTTATTAGTATTGTGCTACTGAATAATAACTTTCGTCATTGTTTTTATCTCGTCCTCATTACGCATACAAACAAATAGAGAGAATAATATCGATGAATGCGGATTAGATGTCTACTTCGCTATGGATTATGAAGTGTTGGGTGAACTACGAACGCATGAATTGAAACCAGGCGGTAGAGATATTCTATTGACTGATGCAAATAAAGCTGAGTATATTGAGTAAGTTTTTTTTGTGCACTTCATTATTTGTTTAGTTTAGCTCATTTTCATTCCATTTTCAATCAATTTTTTACTTGTCGTTTCCAAGTGGTCTGGTTTAATTATTTTGTCCAATTATTGATGACATTAAATGAGATGATGGTTGGAAGTAGTCCACAGGAAACCTTGGACCTAGGTTTCGTGCTATTTGAGACTTATCAGCAAGGTGTACCTGTAATCTTGATAGAGCTAATGCTCCCTGGCGGATTCAATCCCGTGTCACCCAGCTTCACAGTCAGAGACGTTACCACTGAGCTACTCGGGTCTCGACCAACCCCCTGTAGGACTGAGATGAAATTACAATTGATTGATCATTACCCAGTGATCAATCTGTAGTTATCATTATAACTCAAGCACTCATGAATGTGTACGTATACATAAATCACCAAATCACAACGCACACATACCAAATAAGAAATTATTATTTATACATAATCAAGACATGTTTCAGACAACGGGGAAAAAGGTTTAGTAATTAATGAGGGATGGTGAAGAAACAGTGGAGCATGTAACCACAACTTAAAATACAGGGAATATGACGATACAATATATTTTTTAACAATTGTGTAATAAATAATATGTAAGATAGGCCCGAAAGTTACCACTTTCTCAATGTTCTCACCGTTGTTACAAAATAATGCTGTAATTAATTAAAGTTCACCACGTTGCACAAACAAGTGGGTATCTGTACTCATCAAATATTTGAATAAAACGTTGAGCGTTAGAGGGGACTAAGTTTGAATCACGGTGTGAAAATCACTGGGGTGCAGGTACGCTTAGATGAAAAGTCCTAAACAGGATGAAACGCATTTCCTGGATTCCATTACTAGCCACCATCCAACCCTGTTTCAATACTTGTGGTGTAATCACTATACCGAGGCCATCCACACAGAATATATATACGCCTAAAGAAACTGATCATATGCAGTTCGTATCAACGGAAAAATTCAAACAACCAGTATAAATGAGTTAGCCTCTCGAAATGCTCGCAAATGGCCACGCGTATACAGCCACTGACAGGAAAGTCCTACTCACCGCCTTCTCATGGGGGGGGTGTTGCTTACAAAATTGAAAGGACGAAAAGCGGATGTCTGGCGCTTTAACCGGGTTAGTAGATATGGAGGATCCACCTATGGGAGTTAGAAAACCCTTATTCCAAATCACTGGTGCACATGGTCTCCAGGATCTTAAGGAAACAAATGGTGTATCAACCTATCGTTGGTCAACGGGATAATGGGACTGCATCTCTCTATGTTGTTTTACTACCTTGTGGATCAAACCTTTAGGGCGAAGGCTCCAAGTGTGGCCTCCTAAGAAAACCTCCTGCTTCAGTTTGGGTACTCGGGCAGTATCATAGCACACTCATAACTCAAATGCCTTGTGTGGCGCGTATGTATTCGGTGCCTCTTTGTACCAATATCTATTTTCAAATAAAATTTTAAATGATACATTCACCAGAAAGAATCTTATTGTCTTGATTTACATATTTATTGAACAAAATATTTTTCGTACTCACTAATAGAGTTCAGTTAAAGAGGTTTTTGAAGAGACTCGTCCAATTTTCAGGTTTGATTTGCCACAGATTGATCTTAGTAGAGGATAGCATTTTTTAAATTTAAGATTATTTGACAGTTTGTAATCATAGACCCCTGGCAGCTATCAAACCCATAACATTCTGGTTTCTCAGTTAACACTTGACCATCAGAACGTTTGATTCAGCCTCCAATGATAGTCATTAATGCTATCAAACTGGTCAAATAGAAGTAAATGTGAATTTTTAGTCGTTCAGTTGATAGTATGTCATTTAAAAGTCTCTTCTAGTTTTTTTCTAAGTAGTAGCTACCAATAAATGATAAATTTACTGATATAAATCTATAGAGGTCTTTCTAGAGCTCTTATATCAGTGAGGGTATATTATGGGTTGGCACGTTTAAATGACATCTCAGTCCTACTACAGGATGTCAATCTCGACCTGAATAGACCAAGAGTTATGTCTCAGTTTATGAAGCTGATTGATACGGGTTTCGAATCCTCAGGAAGTTTCAGTCTTCTCTATATTGCAGGTACACCTTGCTAACTTTCTTCAACTGGCATAAAACCTAAGTTGAGCAGACTTTCATTCTGACTATTTCCAGCTACTCAAAATGTTTTTCCAATAGAATCAGTAATCTAGGCAGATTCATCACATAAAATGAAGATATCTGATTCTGTTTGAAAGAGGCGATGAAAAACCTAAGGATAATCTAATCATGAATTATCTTGAGCTCATCACGGTCAAGCAATAAATATGTTTGGCTGTGAGTTACTAAGACGAGGTGACTGGAAGTGTATGATTTCCTCCATTCGTAAGGTAATAAGTGTAGGGCTTGTCAGTAGTGGGCACCCAATACCCTTTCAAGCATCAATTCCAGGAGCATCAGATATCGAAACAGTCTTTTAACCACTTAACCTTCATCTAATAGTGTCCATGTGTAACCTCAATCATTTCGAAATACCGGGGTTAACCATCTTCCATTAATTGCAACAGATAACTGTCTCACACTCTACATAGTTGAACTCCACTCCTAACGGTTCGTGACTAGAACTCCTGAAATCGTTTGTGAAAGTTAGTGATTAGTGATTACATGATTGTTTTTCGTATGGTGGTTGTTGTGTTTGTGATTTATGGTGATATTAGAATTGTCATAGTTAACACTAGAAACTGATCTTAATTAGTCAGTCATTAAATATCAACTATTCAGTGCTTCCCAAGTTTTTTTTTCTTTTGATGACTTTCTAACTCAGATCACTCCATGTTGTTAAACTGTGAAGATTTAACAAATTTTTTTTTTACCAACTCCCTTATTATTAAAATATTCATAAGTATACATGCAAATAATTTACCATTAGACTGTTTTTCTCTCTTGCATAGCAACAATCATGTCTTGTTAGATAATTATATACTATCCTGCTATATTTAGCTTGAGTATTACACTTCATTCAATAATACTTATATATATATATATATATATATATATATATATATATATATATATATATATATATATATATATATATATATCTTTCTCTTAACAAACGGATTGTGTTTTTTTTGTAATGTTACTTTGTGCTTCAAGCTGTTGATTTTATTGACAAGTGTCATAATAGTAGTAATTCATATAATATAAGCCAGTTTTTCATTGAATGTTGTGGTACATAACGTATTATTGATAAGATTCTCTCATTGTTTCACACAATTCATGGGATGTGGATAAAACTAAAGTTAGATATTATAATCACTTTTTATGCGATTTCAACTCATCTTGATTTATTCAGTTCGTAATTGGTTGGGTTTTTTTTTAGTCAACTAATTAGGAAGCATTGAATAGATATATCCCTTTAGTATGGGACTGTTTAGTAGTGCTTATCCACAACCTCAGCTATTGTTGGAGGATTGCACTTAGTGAGTTTTTGTTAAAGGACATTATATCTGAAAAGTTTATTAACATCTTGAAGGCTCTATATGAAAACATCCTAGTCATGTTGAGAAAAACAAAAGAAAATAACTTCTCAGCATTAGAATCCTGTAATAGTCTTAGGCAAGGTTCTATAAATTCACTATTCCACTTAATATCGTCACACCGCAATACAATTGTCAGTATAACTTCATCCTCAAATCTTAAGCTTTCTACACTTAGTCTTACTGCTCTCCAACAGATGCATGTAGGATAAAGTGTTCCAGTCAGTATTGATGGACCTGATTATTACGATATCCTAGTTCGATCGCCACGTCGAGGTAACATCTGCTTCCTTCTAACCGTATGAAACCTTAAGTCTCTGATCCGAACATCCAAAGGGTGAATACTTTAATCACTTTTCCACAACCTATGTGATTAATTCCATCCTATTCTGTTGAATATGAACGGTAATAGGTCCGAGTCTCTAAGTGAACATCAACCCTAAGATTTAGGTACATCCAACCGACGAGTTCCAAACAGGACGAAACGCGCATCCCAGATCCCACTGCCAGCCACCATCCATCTTTACTTATAGCGCTTGTGATTTAAGGCAATCCGCACAGGATGCACATATGCGAGTAAGATACTGATCAATTGCACTCCTTCAATGTCAATGGGAAAATTCAAACAAACAATATAAAAATGAATTAACAAAATACAATATTTTGTTTTCTATTCTATCATAGTATCAGCCAATTTTTGAATTAAGTACAAAAAGCACTGTAAAATCATCATCTATACTCGTGCAATTATTAATCAATTGTATTTATTCGCATATAGTACTCATAGCCGTTTATTTCTTTCGATTAATATCTTGCTTTTACCCTAGTAGTCACGTTTATAATACTAATATACATGTATATGAATGTATATTGAATGTTTAATAGTTGCTTTTCGTTCTGTTCTGATCACATTTTGTTAATGATCATTCATAGAAAAGGTCATTCATTGTTAGACAGACTAATTTGTAGCGTTAATGGCTTCAACTTGACGTTATAATCCATAAAAAAAAGGAGCGAAATCGTTGAAACACTTTTCTTCCTAAATGATGTTATGACTTATCAACTCGATGTACTTGCATTCCAGTGTTGATGTTTATTTTCGGCACCAAATGTAGTTCTTAGCGCTTCGAATGCTAACAACGAGTTATCGATTGAGCTACTGAGTACCAATAGCTGTTTATTTGTTCAACGATCATGATGTTATTATCATTATTACTTAGGGTTTGAGTTATGATTATATCAGATGGATCCACATATTCAGGCATATATGTCAACAAAGATTGATCGAGATTTATTCTTGAATATTAAATCCTTACTAATAATGATAGAAATATGAGAATCATCGAGTATTTAAAAAAAACACAATGATATTCGAGAGGTAATGAGTCAGTCAGCTGAATGCAACATAGTACCTAGAAAATGTGTACATTGATTCAAGTTGCCATATCCCATTTGACATCAC